GTGCTGCCTCAGGGCAGGCTGGTTGTGCTGGGAGTTGTGTTCAGCCTTATTCGCTGGGCTGAGAGGCAGCAAGGCGCTTCTCGCTGTAGCTCGAATTTACGCTTACCTAGCTTTGGTGTCTTTTCTTTCTAAGCTCAAACCTTCGTACTTTAAGAGGAAAAGGTATGAGGAAACTGAGGCAGGTGAATACCACTCAGCCTTCCTGCATTTTTGTTGAGACACAGATTTGATTATTTTTCCCTAGAAAAAAACACCTTGTTTTCATGGCTTTAATCACTTAGATGTGGTGTTCCCACCCGGAAAAGAAGAATGCAGACAGTCTGTAAGCTGGTGCCAGAGATGCCGGGATAGTTAATGCCTCTGTGTCCCTGGCACTGTGGTTTGAGCCAAATCAGTGGCTTTTTATACAAATTTCTGACTGCTTTGAAGGAAAGTGGCTTTCTGATTCCGTCCAGATAGCCCTAGCGTAAAGTTAATGCAGCATGCGAAAATGACCTCTTGTCAAGGTTGTTCCACCAAGCACTTGAAAGTTCTGATAGTTATATTCGACAGGGCAGAAAATAGATTGTAAATAGATAATCAGATGGATGGAGTTTGGAAACTAAATGGCATTTATAAATCTAAAGGGGGAAAAAAGGTACTAGATTGCTTTGCAAAGTCTTGCATATCATTTAGATAAAGGTTTAAATATCTTGTATGCATCTAAAAGGGTTTGAATATCTTGGACGTGTTAACTTGTAGAGAGAGAGTATCTTGTGTGAGTCATGGGCAGGATGGCTTGCATCTGCAGCCTTCTACAGGTGGATGTAGTTGTGTGTAAGTAATGAAACCTGTGCTTTCTTTGGTAGACACTCCATGCTGCCCCGTCACGTGCAGAGGCTGGGCAGAGACTGCATCGCCCACTGGAACGGTTCTCAGGTTCTCGCCTTGAACAACCCAGTTTCCAGCTCGATGAGATGGGCTGGACACTATCCCTGGGCCTCGTTTCCACTTCCTGTTCCAGTTGATTTCTCAGCAAACTGGAGATTCCCTCAGTTTTTTGGACCTTGGAGGCAGTTTCAGAGCTCTAATTGGCAGCTTGATAACTTCACGCAAAGTTCTTGCTTTCATCTACCTAACCCCGTTATGAGATCTGAAGGAGAAGAACTGTTGACAAAGAAGAGAAGACTCAGTGGCCAGCATGATACTTCAGCTCTTGAGGAAGAAGCGAACTTCTCTAATCAGAAGGAAGCATTGTGTCTTTCTGTAGCACAGAATAAAGAAAAACATAGCAGCGAGAAAGGTAAAAAATGTTCTTTGCTCATTTTCCTGGTTTATTTGTAATGCTGAACACATCTAACAACTTAAAAGCCATATTGCCTGCACCTTTTGAGTTACTGTTTTTCTTGGCACCTCTCTCAGGAAAACATCTGTCTTTAAAAGTGTTACAGTTTTGTAAAGCTGTTTAGTCTGTAAACTTGTATTTTGTGCTGTCAGACAGTCTGCTGGAGCTAGGTTCACGGTGCTTGGTGATAGAACACAGGCAGTGATGTGGGGGATTGCCCAGCTGGGGAGTCCTGAGCTTGGTTCTTACAGGTGTCTGTCACCAGATCGTGTCTGTTAACTTGAGAACTCTGTAAAAGCAAAAAGATTTAGCAAACTTGCTGTTGGGCTGAGCTGGGCTGGCAGGCTTATAGTTTTATTTCTTGTACTGTACCTGAGCTCATAAGCCCAGCTGGACCTGAATTGGTTTCTTTCTGAGCCAGTTATCTGCAACCTAGATAACTGAGAATTAATGGACTGTGATTTAATGGTGTTTGCTTCCAGCCTGGAGAATAGAAAGCTCCAGGGAGACCTTATTGCAGCCTTCCAGTACTTGAAGGGGCTACAAGGAAGCTGGGGGGACACTTTTTACAAGGGGCAACGGGTATAAATTGAAAGTGGGGAGGTTTAGATTAGATATCAGGAGGAAATTCTTCCTGGAGAGGGTGGTGAGGCACTGGAACAGGTTGCCCAGAGAAGCTGTGGATGCCCCATCCCTGGAAGTGTTCAAGGCCAGGCTGGATGAGGCTTTGAGCAACCTGGTCTAGTGGAAGGTGTCCCTGCCCATGGCAGGGGGGTTGGAACTAGATGGTCTGTAAGGTCCCTTCCAGCACAAACCAGTCTGTGATTCTACGATTAATAACTTGCATTCTGCCACTGGCATATTAGCAAGTTTTGTGTCAGACCATGACTGGCAGAGCAAACAGCAAGTGCACTTACCCAGAGAAGTAAGAAGTGCAGAGATGTCTACCCAACTCAGTAACAAACTTCCATCAAACTTGAGAGTGTCCGAGTTAGCTTACTGTGGATACAAACTTCTACGGGCCATCCAAATGTCTTACTGAGTATTGTGTGCATTTACAGTCCCGCCTACTGTGAAATGGATAGAGGGACAAGGTCAAAATTAAGGCCCTCTGGCATAAATCGCTTCCTTGACAAAATAAGTGGAAGTTGTATTGTGACTGAAAAGGGCGACAGATGCAGTCAGCATCCCAAAGGGATTTTTGGACACAAATATCCATAAGGCTTAGAAACATCATATCCATCCTCAGGAGCTGAAGGAAGGGAGTTTATTTTGTGCCTTTATTACCACATGCTCTCTTAACCCCCCTTGACACAACTTTATCCGAGAGTGTGGTTAGCAGTGTGGCCCTCCCTAGTTATCTTCTGTTCACGTCTTGTAAGGTGATGGCAATGGAAGACACCTGCTGAGGAGCAGTGCGGCCTCTCTCCCACTGTACGGAGAGTACTTACACCTTGCTGTGATTGTTGGGAATACCGGGTGCAGTCCTCAGTACCATAAGCACAGGGATTAAATTTACTACCCACACAGGACAGAGTACCCCCCCTAGCAGCTATAGCCACAGTCTGCCACTGGTTGATAAAGCAGATAACTGCACCTTGGCATGCTCTCAGATGAGTTGGGATGTGAAGGCTGAAATGCATCTTAGTTCGTGAGCTTTTTAAGTGGAAAAAAGCATTTCTGAAATACTTGGATGCTTAATGATGAGTAGATATGTTCTTACAAACTTTTCATACTTAGTATCCTTATATGAACTAGGAATGGCAGAAAGGCAAAGAAAGCCTTTTCAAAAGTTCCTGGTAATTATTTTTTTGTTAATTTCTCAACCTCACGGAGGGAAATAAAGTTTATTATCTGTTTTGGGACCCCTGCAGTAGACCCCATTGCAGCTTATGGCTGAGTTTTTCAGACTGCAGGCTAGAAGTGAACCCTTTGTTTGATTCCTAACCTCTTGTTATTTGTGGATAGGGAGATCAACAAGATGTCCATATGCTGCTCAGGGGTGTTTCCTAGACTGACATAGCTCATCTCCACTGAGGAGGCAATGGCAGAAGGCAGCGTGAGACTATGTCAACAGACTGGATTTGGTTTACCAGTTTGACGGCTTTTCTACAGGGAGGGGTAGTCTGACTGCAGCCATCTCCTTGGAACGTGCCAGTTTCCTAATTTCAAAGCACATTGAAATCCAGGGCATATAATGTTTGTGCTGTGTTTTGGGGTTCTTTTTTGGTTTTGTTTTTTTTTACTGATGCTTGTATAAAGTTCGTCTTAAAACAGGCTCTAAATCACTGCTAATCCAAATAAGCTTTCAGAATTGCTTAAGCAGTTTGAAAGGTGAAGAGTTGTCAGTAAAACGGACAGCTTTCTATGAGCAGTAAGAGGTCATATGGTGCGTTACAGAACTTTTTCTGCTTCATGTGCTTTTAACAGGAACCATCAAAAGACACTGGGAATATTTCTGTCAGCACAATAGAACAACGAAAATCTCTGACAATAAAGAAGCTGACCAAAGCAATACAGAAAGTGAGGCAAAATTTGATTTTACAGTCATGTCCTACAATATCCTCTCTCAGAATCTGTTAGAAGATAACTCCCATCTGTACAAACACTGCAGGCAACGATTGTTAATCTGGACATACAGATTTCCCAACATTCTGCAAGAAATCAAACAGCTGGATGCAGATGTGAGTAGAAAATGACCATGTGGATATTTCTTAAGAACTGATAAACTGGAGTAGCATTCTTGTTGTTCTTTATTTTGATAGGTGGGCTGTGTAGTGAATCCAGCTGAGCTTTTAGTTATGTCATGCTTAATGTTAGTTTCGATTTATGCTTATGCAGTTAGTGTATTCTGCTTTACACTGCCATTTTTTTATAATTCCAAAACCTTCTTTCTCCACATAAATCTCTCTGTCTAGAGCACACTTGAGTGCTGTAAATGAGGCATTGAACATAAGAACAGCTATACTTGCATAGGCCAGAGGTTGACCTAGTTTAGTGTTGTGTTTGTAGCAGTAGCTAATGGCAGATCCTTTGAGTAGGAGAACAGGGCACCTTTCTCCAGGATAGTCTCAGCTTCTGGGACGGTACAGTTCAAGAAGCTCTGGAGCTAAAGGTGCTCTTTAATTGTGCCATAAGTGTAGTGCGAAGGATGTGGAAGATGGAGTAGTTGGCAAACACTTAAGGTTGCATGCCACCCTTTTGTGGAGGGAAAATAACATGTGTGCACACAGGAGGGTCAAATGAGGGCAACCTCCAGGACTGGCATTTCCTAACTTCCAGGTGTGTGACTTTGACTTCATATTTGTTTGGGTAGTAGTTACCCCAAGTGCCTGTATTCTCAGTGAATCAAAAGTCCCTTCTATAATCTGTCTGCTAATCCTTCAGAGCCATTTGTTAGACTAGGTAATGGAGAACTTAGAATCATGTCTGAATCCCTTATTTGGAAGGCAGACTGGAATGTTTTACTACTTCAATGACAGTGAGGGCTGGAGTGATGAGGCAGCTGTGTGGATCTCAATTTTCTTGAGATTAATGTTCAAGGCCTAGAGAAGGATGCAGGTGTTGGTAGCATTCCTGTGAGACTAATCCAAAAGTGTTCCTTTCAGGTGTTCATTTCTCTCCAGCTGGTACTCTGCACCATCTGACTCATGAACAAGCTTGCTCTTCTCTACTGAGATGTAACTCTGACCTTCTGTCTGTCCTGGGGTCTGAAGAAATACCATGGTTTTGGTTGGTTGTGGGGTTTTTGTTTGGTTTTGAAGACGCTTATTGCATATTGTTAATCAGGAAGTAGAGTCAGTAAACTTTTTGCTTCAGTTGTTGTTCAGGCCAACAAAAGTTTGGTAATAGACTCCAACTTGCTGTGTGTGCAGGTCTTTACAGTGAGATGCATTAGTGGACTTTCTGGGAGGAGTGCTGGGCCAGAAGAATTCTGGTGAGGATCTGCCTGGTGCTGTTAGTGGTAACAGACAGTTCTCCAGGGTGGAAAGGCTGGAACTGAAGCCAGCGCCTCAGGCAAAGAGCAGTTCAGTTCAGAGTAGGTGCTAAAGTCTGCAGAGCCACACAATGCAGGACAGGAGTAAAGAGGTGATGCTTCGTATTGCCCTAAGTCAGGACAAGCAGCTGCCTGCAGACTAGTAAGTGCAGGGAATCTATCGCTAAGGGACATAGACTTTTAATTGATTCACTGTTTTGACCTGTAGCCTTATTGTGATGCACACGCTTCAAAGTATGGCTTGAGATCTGGTTCTCCTTTGCGACCTTGAGTTGAGCTAGTGTCAGCTGGGTAAGTGGAGCCTGCGGCAGTTCAGCAAGCAGTTCTAACTCTACTACTCTAGAGAGTAGAGTAGAGTCTTACTCTTCAGGAGCTCAGCCCTTCCTCAGAGGCCCAAGGTGGTTGTAAATCTGCATGTTACTGCAGTGTGCAGGGAGGAAGCTCCAAGATGCTCAGAACTCTCTTAATGGAGTATTTCAAGGCTGATCTTTGGTTCAGGTGGTTATAATTTGGAAGCTGCTTGTCCACTCTATAGCTAATGAAAAGTGTGCCCTTGGCCTCTTTTTTCCACTGCTATGGCATTTAGCCCTTCTCTAAACTGCTGAGAATGCCTTAGCAGGTCATTATTTTGATTAAACTTAATTTCACATCTGAAATTTCATGTCTGTCTGAGGAAGGGTGGGGAGGAATTGAGGCCCTCTTCACAATCTTGAAAAGCATTTTCTGTAGGAGAGTGAATGCTTTTAAGGGATTATGGAGGCAAAAGCCTCTGGATTTTTTTTTTTTTTAATACCTATACAGACTGACCAACAGAGATATCATACAGTAATATTTTGATGTATTTACTAATATCTTCTAATTGTAAACTTCTGCTTCAGGTACTCTGTTTACAAGAAGTCCAAGAAGACCACTATAGAACAGAGATCAAGTCAAGTTTGGAATCCCTGGGTATGATAAAACTCTTATGACCCATACATCATCTTCTCCCCTGCCCCAGTACTGTTTTCCTTAAAAAACCCTCTTAGAGTATAGAACCAAGACTCCTGCTATCTCACGCAACAGTGTCAGATACCCCCTTTTATAAATTCATCCAGGGCTGTGTTGAAAAACTACCTTTGTTTTCTGCCAATATTCCTGTTGGATAGCTTTTCTAGGGTATGTTTCTCTGGCTTGAAACCTTCCAAATATCAGCACTAAATTTTATCCCTGGTCAGTTTATATTAATGAGTTTTTATGCTAGTATTGTCAGTCACCTTAGTCTTATCGGTCTCCCGTGTGAATTGATGTAAGGAAGCTGTTGCTGTGGGGGTGATTTCATGGTGGTTTAAACTGATCTAAGTCTTTTGTGCCTTAGGCCTCTCCTTCCAGTCCTAGGACCCCGCTCCTCCTGGCACTGGTGCTTTGATGCCAGGAGGAGCCAGTTCAAGGGGAAGTGCCGGACTGACTCTGTTTTCTTGGTTAGTTGGAGGTCGTCTAGCTCCCAGAATTGAGTGTTTGTAGAGAAGGTAGAGTAGTGGCAGTACTGATTTAAATCTACTTGAAACGTGAAACAGCGCTATAAGGCTGGGCTCGTGTGGGCAACTGAACTTCCTGCTGCTATACACGAGGGTCTGGAGCTGCTGTAGCTCTGCCTGTTCCCTCTCCCTAGCTCCCAGATGCATGTCGTGGGCTGGTTCTGGCACTCGCTAGACCTTCAGCCTGGTGAAATCCACCAGTCCAGCACAGTGCTATCCAGACTAATTTTATTTTCCTGGATTAGTTTACGGTTGGCTTACTGACTTAACAGTAAGTGCCACAAGTGCAGGAGCATATGGCCTGGAGCTGGGAGAGAGGAGTGGGAAACCCCCCAGTTCCAGCATGGGTGTGAGCTCGGAGGTTGACTCACTCCATGGGGCTGTACTTCATGAATTCATACGGCATGGCTGGGCAGAGAAGCATTTTAAAATGGCAAAAACTAGACATTGTTTCAAGATGATTAAATTTTTTTTTTCTTACCTAGATAAGGGCTTGTTAAAATCTGCATTTCACTTCTATGTAAAATGAGGATCTTGGCAAATTACTGTTTTTGAGTGGACTTGCTTGAACTCCAATACTGTTGTGTGAAAAGTGTCTCAGTTTCCCTGTCAAAAGCTTGCTGCTAACTGGGTAATTACATAATTGTGTAAATAGGTTTGAGACCTTTGTTCTGTGAATCACTTTAGACAGTGATTTATGACTTAGAGTGATTATTGCTTTTGGTTGTAATGCTTCACTGGTATGATTCCTAAACCACTGTGGTAACATCCAGAAAAAACTTTAATACACAAGTCCACTTCTATGTGACTTCTGGGGTTTGTTTTGGATTGGGTTTTTTCCACACAAGAAGAGAACAAGCCTGGTATCTACGTGGATGCTTACACATCACGAAAGGTATTAGACCAGGTTTCCTGTAGTATCTAAACTGAAGCCAGACAGGACAGGAGGAGTCTTGTGTTCACGCTTCAACGTGAACGTCACATAGTCTTTGGTACTTCAGACTGGGTGGTGACTGCTGTGTGAGAAAAGTACCGTGAGGTTTATCTATTTTTTTAAAAATAATCTCTATTTATAAAATGATATTTTATGGTTTTAATTGCCTTTCTTGCAGGGTATCACTGTGAGTATAAAGTGAGGACAGGGAGAAAACCTGATGGCTGTGCTATCTGCTTCAAAACTTCCAAATTTAGCCTGATTTCCTCAAACCCTGTGGAATTTTTTCGCCATGATATTCCACTCTTGGACAGGGACAACGTTGGACTGGTGTTGCTTTTGCAGCCTAGACTTCCCTGTAAAACTAATGCTGCAGTCTGTGTAGCCAATACGCACCTGCTGTATAACCCGCGGCGAGGGGACATCAAACTGACCCAGCTTGCAATGCTCCTGGCGGAGATCGCTAGTGTCGCCCCTCAGGAGGATGGTACCTTCTGTCCGATTATCATCTGCGGGGACTTCAATTCTGTGCCTGGTTCTCCACTGTACAGGTTTATAAAGGAAGGAAAGCTGAATTATGAAGGACTTGCTATAGGGAAGGTAGGCTATGCTTTTCACTTCTCTTTCAGTCAGCATTAACCTTTTTTTGTGAGAAGTGTGGAATCGAGTGGTGCTAGCATGCCATCGCTGTGATTGTTCCCAATGCAACTGTTTTTTCAATCAAAGGGCGTTCCTAACGCCCTTTACGCACTCTGCAAAGCCAGAGTTACTGCGGAGTGACTAAAATAAGCTTGGGTGTTTTAGCTGTGCCTTACAGAATATCGTATCTGCCTGTAGCATTTCGCAGTGAAAAACTTGTGGACAGATTAATTGATCTTGAAAGGTGGTTATCCACGGGATGATTGCATCACTCTGTTTAAGTGTCCCAGACTTTTAAGTAGGAGAAAATAACTACTTAATCAAATGCCTACTGTGTACTGTATGGGGAGATGCATCTTAATTTAGATAAACTTTGAACTGCAGTGGCTAGAATAATTGTAAAAGCAAAAAGGAAGTGAGATGTTGAACCTAAACTGTTTCAGGTTAGATGCTTTTTTTGTTGTAAGCTCTTGTATGTAGCTGTTGGATGTGTCAAGTGCTAGTTAATAGAAAGTAACTAGAGTACCTTGAGAAAACATGAAAAAATAGCCCCACGGACTGGTATGTGTTGCCAGTGGATAGTTGTTTCAAGCCCTGCTTTGACTTGACCTGCTCCCAGAAGAATAAGCATCGTGAAGATAAAGTAAGTGTCTGCTAGGGAGCTGTGTGCACTCAGTCCTGTTACGTTGCAGAAAGTGGTCTTGGTAGCCTCTCAGCTTAGGGAGCGCTGTTGTTTTTACAGAGATTTGATGAGCCGTTATGAAAGACTGATTTGAGGGGGGTGGGGATTTCTTGGCTTAAAACTTTAAACTTTGCGAAAAAAAAGTGGCTTTTCTGAATCAAATTTCTGTCTGAAAAAATTCACGTTGTCTTTCTTAGGTTTCTGGACAAGAACAGTTTCCAAGAGGGCAAAGAATCTTGTCGATTCCGATTTGGCCAAAAAAATTGGGTATTTCGCAAAACTGTGAATATGAAATAAAACGGCAACCAAAAGAAGAAAACGCAGGTCAGTTTTTCTAGGCTGATGAACTTTTGTGGTCCTTTGAAAATACCCTTCAGGTGGTTCTGAAAAACAGGGGATCTGTTCATTATAATGGGGGCAAATCAGTGAGCCATGAGCTTGCAAAACTTCCTTGTTGGGCTCGTTAACGAAGTTTTTTGTTCGCATAACTTAACTCACAGTTTGCCTTCAGAAGGTAATGCAGGTTGTCACGTGGGAGCTGGCACGCAATATTTCAACCACCGCATTGGCATCGGGAAAGCCGCTTCTGCTGTGACTGGGAAAAGGGAGATGGAGGAGCACAGGGTGTGTGTGTGGGATGAACCTGCGTCCTGCTGCGGTGTTTGTGTGTTAGGGCGGAAGCGCTTGATGGAACAAGTGGGAAAAGCGAGTGGTTCCTTGCTGAGTATTAGTACATCTTTCATCCACTGTTTTTTCCTGACAGAAAACACCAATCTTAAATGGATGGGACCTAATTTGAAAGAGTTTTTGGAGGGCTTCATACTGCTGGATCAGAAGAATTTATTCCAGCTTTGTGAATTGTATCTTGCCTGCTGCAATATATGTGTATTTAAAGAATTTTTTTTTCTGTAGCTCCTCAGTATTGGTCTTTTCCTACATCCTATTTTTAAATGTAAATTGAATATGGTTTTATTTTGCAGGAGAAAAATGCGAAGCCGCGAAACCGGAGAAGGCTCAGGAGATTGTGCTGGCTTCTGAAAAGTATGTGTTGGGGGAGGGGGCGGGGGGGGGAGTTGGAAGCCCTCGGCTGGTGCCGGGTTTTGGGGATTTCTTTTGGTTTAGACCGCACTTGCATCTGACTCCAGCCATGGGTATGGGACGCCCAGCCAGCGCTGTCTGCCTGTCTGGCAAAAAGTCACCTGGTGGTTCAGCATGAAAAGGCTGATGGGGCAGCAAAAGAGGAGAACTGGAAACAACGGAGGAGTGCGTTCTTGCAGGAGCTTGCGGATGTTACTGTGGAATGCAGAGGTGTTGGTGCTGTTCAGAGGGTGCTTTCTGTCTGCTTATTACAAGAATGCTTTTGACTTTTCCCTCACCTCTTGACATAAACAGGACATTTTGGGGTGTAGTGGCATCGTAGGGAAGCTGTGATCTTCAGTCCAGTTGCAGAAAATGTGTTTTTGAGAGAGGGAAAATAATCAACGAAAACCCCAGTGTTGTCCAGCTGCTTAGGTGTTGGCACTTCTCTCTTTTTACAGTTTTTGAGATACTGGTTTATGGATGCTAGTAAAATCCTATAATGCAATGTGAAATTGGGATAAAGGAGGGGAAAGGAACTGGAAAGATCATAAAATCTTCCTTGTCAAGAGCTCTGTGGGAGAGTGTAAGTTCTTGCAGTGCCAGAAACCTGGAGTATTACGGATCTGGTAGTACAGCTCCTACTTGGATCAAAACATGTGCTTGTTGTACTGAAGGAGGAAGCCACCACTGTCCTGCTGGGAAGGAAAATGTAACTTTTTTGAAAGGAAAAATATATTTGCATTTATCAAACGGGTGAAGGTGTATAAAGGAAGGCACAGAAGAAGGAAATTGCCCTGTGTATGTGTGACATCAGGCTCCAAGCAGCCATTTCTTATCAGAAATGAGATCCTGGTATTGCTGCAGGCAGTTGTATTAAAACCCTTGGTGATCAAAAAGCTAAGTAACAAGGCATTTCTGAGAAAAGAAGCAGAGAGGAGGCAGTAAGTCCCATTCTGCAGTGTAAATCCATAGCATGTCACGTGCTGAACGCTGCTTGCAAGGTTTTTTGCCTTGTCTTAAAAAGGGTGTCATGTAACAAGAGCAGAAGTTGCTACCCCTCTGTATTGTACCAACTGGCATGTCTGCCTGTCACCTCTAAAATCAGGCAGGTGTCACGCTGGTATTTTCTGTAGTTGCTGGGGTTTTTTAAGCAGAACATGTTGTGGCTCAGGTTTAACACGCAGCCACGCAAGGGGAGACGTGTACAGCTGAGGGATGGATGATTTACAGAGCTGATGGGAGCAAGCGGCTGGGAGGGAGAGAGAGAGGAGTTCTTTTGCTGAAAGGTGTGGTTTTGCAGTTTGTTTCAGGGTTGAAAAAGCAGGTGAGACAAGATGAGCTGAACTGAAGAGGCTTGGACTGACAGATGATGGGGAGAGACAAAATGGGAGTCTGGGTGGAGGAAAGAAGATTAGGCGTAGCCTGACGTGAAAACACATGACAGCTTTAGTTTAGGGGAGGAAGAAAAACCTAAAAATCTTAATTTTTGTATATGCTGAAGGGCCTGGTTAGATGACTTCATAGTGTATGGTTTTCATATAAGCTGCTGTAGTGGACGCTTCCACCCCACTGTCAGGGAGAGATTGCTGAGTGAGGGCATGTGAAATCCTACAAAGCGTGCGTGGAGGGAAAGCTTTGTTTATTTAAAGTGTCAGTTAAGCCAGTTTTGACAGGCTCTTGGGTACCTGCCTTGTACTGAAAAAGCTGCCTGCGTTTTGCCTTCAGAGGTTTAGGCCACTAACACAAAAGGCAGTGGGATCGATTGTGTGAAGGAAACACTGGTTTGAGTATCCAGAGAATTAATTTTGTATTTGGTATTTCCTTGTTGCTTATCCTTTATGGGAAATACAAGAAAATAACATTGTTTTCTTTGGCTCCTGTTTTAGGTTGTCTTCAAAACTGCAGCACCATTTTAAATTGTCTTCAGTCTATTCTCATTACTTTCCTGAAACTGGGGTACCAGAAGTAACAACTTGTCACTCCCGCAGTGCTGTCACGGTGGATTATATTTTCTATTCGGCAGCAAATGACGATACTGCTGCCCAGCCAGGTAAAGGAACCAGCTTTTAATTATTTTTCACAAATGCTGAATTGGGAATATTCAGGTGCTGTTCTAAGGGAAACGTAGCGATAATTTAATCCACGTGAAGTACCTCAGAGGGTTCATGGTGGTGCTTTGCGTGTCAGCAGTTACCTGAGAAACAGGGCTGGCCCTGTCCGCTCCACACAGTTGGACTTGTAGTGCCAGACAGGGCAAACTTTTCTACTTCACTGAGCATTGCTGTCGTTGCCATCTCAGCACAAAGATGGGCTGAGGCTACGGAGAAGGAGCACTCTAAGCAGCACCTGAGCAATAATGCTGTAGGTAACCTGCCAGGACTGACGACAGCGCAGTTATTTCCAGTCATCTGAATAACAAAGCGGTGAACAGCAACTTAGCGTGTGCGTTAAACCTGATAAACGAACGGTTCCTTAGAAGGTTACTTTGCCGATCGGCTTGATGTAATTTCTGTCCAGGAAACGGCCCCCCGTGGCCTTTGCTCTGAGAGCAGTCCCTTGCCCGTGCCCCGTTGTCGCTCTTGGTTGCAGTTGCAGCTAAAACTCGCCAGATGGTGCGAGAAAGACGCGGTACCCCTTTGCGGGCGTGTTTCTCGCAGGGTAACGCGGCGCTGTCCTTCACTGCGTTAGTGCTCTTACCCTGGATACCTCTGAGCAGGACGCTTCCCTGGTCACCATTCCTTCTGTGCTGTGCTCGGACATCATGGCACGGTGCAGTGCTGCCAGAGAAGGGGCTCTGCAGGGCTCGGAACAATGAAACCCGGA